GGTTAGCGGAAGCAAATGCAATGGAATAGGCAACAGCAGACAGTTGTTCCGCCTTATCAAGGAAACTGGTATTAGGAACCCGAATGTGAGTGAGACTATTTCGGAAAAAGATGGTCTTATCATTCATTCTCAATCCAGGAGATTGGATCGATGGGCAGAACGTTTTAGGGATCAGTTCAAATGGCCACGAGCCACTCTTCGGTTACCCACGATCTCCAGTCATCCTGAATGGCAAATCAACCTAAGTCCCCCTAGTTTTAATGACGTTGAGAAAGCGTTAGGAAATCTGAAGCGAGAGAGAGCAGCAGGACCCGATAGTTTGACCCCTGAGATATTTAAGGATGGTGGTCCAGTTTTATCAGCTAGGTTGACCGAGATCTTAGGTAAAATCTGGGAACTGGACGTAATCCCATCCAACTGGACTCAATTCCCGATTGTCCTAATTTATGAGAAAAGACAAAAGTCTTCTTGTGACAATCACAGGGGAACAAGTCTAACTAATATAGTTTCTGAATTGTTAGCCTCGATTATCCTTAGACGCCTAACTAGAGCATGTGAAGAGCAGACTAGAGAAGACCAGGCTGGTTTCAGACCTGGACGTGGTTGTATAGACCACATTTTCACTCTACGACAGGTAGTGGAACACAGAAACACATTTAGACGTCCAACAATAGTTGTGTTCCTGGAACTTGAGGCGGCATTTGACTCTGTTGATCGTGAGGTTCTGTGATAGTGTCTGACATTGAAAGGTGTACCAAAGAAGTACATTGATCTTATACAAGCTCTACTCGAACACCACTGGTCGAGTGAGAGCTTATGGTGAACTGTCGTCGGAATTCTTTACTTCAAGTGGTGTCCGTCAGGGATATCCTTTTTCCCCATTCTCGTCTAATTTTGTCATAGACATGCTCCTAGAAATAACCTTATCCTCGTCTGAATTTTCAGTAGACCTTTTACCAGGTGGCTCGCTTATTGACTTAGAATATGCCGATGACATTGTCCTACTTGGTGAAGACGCTGACAAAATGCAGAGTCTTCTGACTACCCTAAGCAACAATGCAAGCATGTTTGGGATGCGGTTTTCCCCCTCGAAATGCAAAATGTTGCTTCAAGATTGGGTTTCATCGGCACCTGAACTAGTGATAGGGAGTGAAGTAGTCGAGCGTGTAGACCACTTCACTTATCTCGGGAGTCTCATCAGTGCCGATGGCTTGATGACTGACGAAATCTCAGCACGGATACAGAAGGCTCGATTGGCTTTTGCCGACCTGCGTCACTTAAGGCGTAGGCGAGATATCCGTTTGCTGACTAAAGGACGAGTGTACTGCGCAGCAGTTCTCTCTGTCCTACTATATGGATGCGATACATCGCCTGTGAGAGTAGTGGACATTCGTAGATTGCTTGTCTTCGATGAAAATTGTCTCCGAAGCATCGCTCGTTTATCGTGGGTCAACCGAGTAAGCTATGCTATCGTTAAAATACGAATACTACGTAGGAATTGCAGGTCAAAAGATGAAGTGTTGAAACTTCACCAGTCGAGGTGGTTGGGTCATGTGGTACGTATGTCTAACCACCGACTGCAGTGTAGGAGTAGGTTGGAAGAAAGTTGGGGGTGGCTAAACCAAAACATAGCAGAAATCCATAGCCACTGACAAGTGGACTGAGTCATGTTGGTATGTGTAGGCTACCTAGTTGGGGTCCGCGAGACGAAATTCACCAATCGTAAGAAACCTTGAAAAACATGGCTCAAAATTGTTTGCAGTGGCGCAAGTTCATCCACTCTTTGTGTTCTCTCAAATTCTAACATTTTGAATTCCCCATAATCTCTATGTTTCTCCTTCTAAATTTATCTCACTGAATTATACTTCTCAAATCATATCTTCGCTCCCTAATCTTCTCCATGAGTGCTAATACTTCTACTATCGCTCCCACTACTGGATTTGAACTGACAGTTGCGTCTCTTTGCTAATGCGGTGTGGCGACCTGAACTGATGTTCTTACTTACGAAGTTCTGCATTGTATCTGTCTGTCTGGAATGGTAGAACCTACAGGAACGTATGTTCCAGACAATATAGCTCGACCGCCACGTCAAGGTGGCTGCTACGGTCGGGATTTGGTAGTAAAACAACGTCAAGTCGGTCATTTCACTCTTTTTCATGATGGCGTCATATTGAGAACTTTCTAATCGTAATTATTTTTACTGATGTGTTACGAAGTTACATACCTGGAACTCGGTACCTATTTCGTTGGACTACCGTTTGCTTATGCATGGTGATTCACCACGTTAAATTTAAAAGACTATATTACTCAAAAAGCCGAAAGTACATTGTGAATTTTTGATTTCTCCCTAAGTATAAGCAAACGTAAATTTGCTTACATGACCCTCTTTCAGGTCTTAACATTTACAGCAATATCATTTTGTCAACCCCCTATCTTGCTGTCTGTAATACATAAGTTCTTCGTGTTCTAAATTGAGATAACTAGGCTATTTATTGCACTATTTCTAGATGCAAGTTAGTTTTAGAATAAACAGTAAAAGTTTCCCAATTAGTCACTCAGTTGCAACCTAAAACTTGATACTTATTTAAATCAATTCAAGCTTCCATACCACATTATCCCGTTCTGTTATACGGGTTTGAAACACGGCCACTGACAATAGAGAATATTCGTAGGTTGCTAGTATTCGATCATAAATAAAATTAGGATATATATATATATATATATATATATATATATATATATATATATATATATATATATATATATATATATATGGCCATCTTTCTCTATTGTTATATTTCAGCAGGATGTACATTTTTACGAACGTTATCCCAAAGGATTTGACAGTGTCTTATTACCAAACGATAAGACAGTGATGTAGTAAATAGTAAAATAGGATTAATATCGGCATCAAATGACGCAACTTGGTAGCCTAGATTTTAGACGTCCCAATCATAGCAGACTCATTAAGACAGTGATTGAATTGACTATTGTGACAACGTGGTGAAGCTATATTGGTTGATAAATTTATTCTCCAACACTATGCTAGCTCGTTAATGGGCAGGTGAAAAAACTAAAGCCTGGTCAAGCTTGTCTGTATTACACTGTGATTCTAGTAAGTTGTTTTCCAGCATCTTCGGTAATATCGCCTTCATTCAACGATGAAGTTGAAAATAAAAGTAGCGCAACTTATCCTTGGTCAAAGATTCCTGTGTGCTGTGGTACATATTCAAAAGTGCAGTGCTATCTAACTGAGCTTTGCAATTTGATCCCAGTTAAACAGGACTGATATCACTAACTAAGTTTCTTTAGCAGGTCCCTCGAAAATGAAAATTCACACCATGGTCTGGGAAATTGAAATATGCTAACCATCAAAACACTTCTAACGGAGACAATGTTAACTGATTGACGTTGGTATTGGCCATTTGTTAGTCTGAAATTAATATACGCAAACAAGAAATCGTGGCTCAACAGTGTACAAACTAGAATCGTGCTAGTTACAAGTGTAAATTTATCTGCTCACGGTCGATAAACTCTACTTATATTCAATATCACTAACTACTTCAGCGGCCATCTAAACCCACGTTCATCAATAATAATCTCTCGAAACCGTATATTTCTGACCTTATTGGTTTATCCCTTATGAGTAATATAGGTATGTTGGAAAGAACGTAAAACTTTGTATTGTAGAACATTGCTAAAGGATTCTGTATCGATGTACAGTAACTTCCTGGATAAGGCATTGTGTTGAGTATCCTTATAACATTTCACCTGATCTGTAAACTGTAGTAACTCGTTACTCGGAACGGTCGGAGAAATGTCGAATAAAGACACCGTTAATATGTCGACGTTAATGTAAACATATGAAATAGGCGTTTATCAAAACTAGAGGATAACCGATAAGCTGTAAGAGGACTTGAGCTTTGCAAGAGGATTTCCACCATTCTGACTTAAGATGCTTTAAAAACGCTCGTTTATACAATTGATAAATAACCCTAAAACCAAATAGGGAGAAATTAAAGTGGATAATAATACTGATCAGCAACGAAAATCAACGCAGACATAAATTATAGTCAAAGAATAGGAAAATGTAGATTTAAGAGTATTCTTGAAAGGTATAATTCACCAATACAGACAGCAAATGCATTTGAGCTCTATGGTGTAAGACCATTTTAACTTTTGGAACGACTGGTACCAAAACATGAATGCTTAAATAACATTTTCTGTAATTATTTGAAATAGGTTCATCAGAAAGATATGAATAGATTCAACCAAGCTTATTCCAACCTCCTGAAAGCTAATAT